CAGGTTCATAGCCAGCTTGACAGAGATGTTTGTGCAGTTTGCAAACCTTCCCCCGTCATATGTACAGCAAAGAGTACCCCGAAGGCACTCAGAGCTTTCTTCGGGTGCATCTCGTCGCCAACTTGAGGGTTCAATCCAAGTTAGAGCGTCGGTGGAAGAATCGAAGGCTGCATCTTCTGACGGTCCTCGACTAGACTATTTTGAATATTATTTGTATATCGTTAATTTGTAATATTAGACAGGACATGTTAACAAACATGATTGCAACCATTATTCCTATTAAATATTATTACCATTACATAACCCTTTGCGCTCCCAGCCCTAATCCCTCAACCCTGAGCTCTGAAACTCATAAACCTTAAACCCCAGAGCTCTAGGGTTTTTGGGGGTTTGGGGGTTTAGGGGTTTAGGTTTTAGGGTTTTAGGGGTTTAGAAGTTTAGGGTTTAGGGGTTTAGGGGTTTAGGGGATTAGTGTTTTAGGGGTTTAGGGGTTTAGGGGTTTAGAGGCCTAGGGTTTACTTCAGGAACCACATTCCAAGGTGCTGCTTCTGAATATCGGCACTCCAGCTTCAACAGAGGCCTGCGGAAAGTTGCATGTTGAGTTCTTCCGGCGACCCCCCCAGGGTTTAGGGTCTGTCGGGCTTAGGCTTCTGCGGTTTAGGGCTTGAGGCTTTTAGGGCCTAGAGAGGCAATCCTTGAGCCATGCATCCTAACCTGGCCCCGACACAAACCCCTAAACCCCTAAACCCTGCACCCTACACCCTACACCCTAAACCCTAAACCCCAAACCCCAAAACCCCGAACCCTAAACCCTAAACCCTAAACCCAAAACCCTAAACGGCCAGGTTGGGGACGTGCGCGACTACCTGGAAAAGTTCTTGGCGGACGATCGGGTGATTGAGATCGAGTTGGGGTCCCGGTCTCCGCTCCGTTTTGGAGTTTCGAGATTTTCGAGGTTTAGGGTTTAGGGGCTTTGGTTTAGGGTTTAGGGTTTAGGGTTGTAGGGTTTTAGGTTTTTGGGTTCTGGGGCTTCGGGCGTTGTGAGGGCGTAGGTTGTTGGGTATAGTAGGTTGGGGGTCAACTATCCTACACTCTGGAAGCCTTTGCCGGGTTTACTGAGTTTATTTGGGTCCAAAACCTCAACCCTCAACCCTCAACCCTAAACCCTAAACCCTAAACTCTTAAGCCCTAAACCCAAAATCCTTAACCCTAAACCTTAAACCCCTACACAACTAAACCAGGGATGTTGTGGTGTTTTTGCCCAGGGAGATTGCAGGGCTCTCTACACGGGTGTTTTGGGAGGCCAGAAAGCCGGGGAGCTCTGAGGATCCCGGAAGAGCCGTGGCGGCCGATTCTTCTGGGCTCCAGGGTTTGAAACGGTTTTTAGGGTTTTTAGGGGTTTCGTTTATAGGGCTTATAGGGTTTATAGGGTTTAGGGGTCAGGGTTTGTAGGGTTTAGGGGTCAGGGTTTGTAGGGTTTAGGGCTAGGGTTTAATAGGGCTCAGGGCTTAGGATTTATGGGGTTTAGGGTTCAGGGTTTGTAGGGTTTAGGGCCTCGGGCTTGGGGCTTATGGCGTTTAGGGTTTAGGGTTTGGGGTTTGTGGGGGTCTCAGTCCCAGAACAACCTGCTACATGTTTGTAGTTCCGCAATAATGCTAACTCCAAACTTTATAAGCGAGAACTAAACCACTTTTTCCCCATGGCAAACCCCACAGCCGAATCTCGACACCGAAGGCCCGTAACCCTTGTGATAAGTAGCCATTAACTTTCATAGTGGCCCGACTCGGAGCCCTTTGAAGTCCCGGGAATCTGCCCAAAACCCTAAACCCTAAACCGCATCGTGGCCTCCTGTCTGAGTGCCCGAGGCCACCCTTTCTCAAGTGGCTGGTGCTGCAGGCGGGTGGGATTAGGGTTTACCGCTTAGGGGTGGGTTTGGGGTGTTTCAAACCCAGCACGACAAGTCGTACGCCTTCTGCTTGGCTTCGAGTAAACTATGCGTGCGAAGTGAGCACCTATACCCTGAACCCTAAACCCTAAATCATAAACCCTAAACCCTAAACGAGCAGTGCAGAGGTCAGAGCTGAGCCAAGCTTTAGTGGTTACTGTAGTTCCTGCCACATCACCCGGCGTCGTGCCAGGACCCTCCTTGTACCCTCAAGTGGGGGGTTTGGGGTTTAGGGTTTAGGGGCATATAGATACAAATCATGGGTATTTACGGTGTAATAGAGGGTAGATGCAGGGTCTTGGTGATGACCGAATTGGAAAAACCTTGCTGCATTTCCCAGCCGTTTGACAGCGAAGTGTAAATACAAAGAAGCTAGAACCCGTGGGTGAACTGTGAAACGAGTTAAGCAATCGAGACCACTAGTAGTCAGTAACCCCTCTGTGTTGAGCCAAAAACCCGACACCCTAAACCTTGGACCCTAAGCCCTAAACCCCAAACCCCGAAGCACCTGAAGCGAAAGTGCTGAACCATGAAGCCTCAGCTCCTGAACTCCGAAAACACTCCGAAGCTAAATGAGGTCTTTCACGCCTCCGCCCTGGACCCTAAATCCAAACCCCAACTCTACACCTCCAACCCTAAACCCTAAACCCCTAAAGCCCTAAACCCTCAACCCCTCAA